ATGTTCAATTAATAAACATAGATATTGTTTGTGTAAATCATTGCAAAGCCGTCGAAAGGTGCTCTTTCAAACGGAAATATGTGTAGGTACAACAAATAGTAACTCAGGCATGTCTTCCACTTTTTCCATTTTTGCCGGTAATTGTTTCATTTTTGTCGCCTTAACCACACATTCTAATTATGTGTAGCCTTCAGTAAATGCAATATATGCACTTTTATCAAAAAACTACGAGAAACGAACAAATAATACCAACAGCTGACTAACAATCAGCCATATTGTTTTGCTTAGGAGCACAGACTGTATATTAAAAAGTGTCCGTAGAAAACCGTTAAATAACGCCACTATAGCTACGGGGTAAATTTTAAAGAACGCGCCGAAAATTATTAGTGGGATAGACGAATTTTTCGAGGTTATAATTATTACTAAATAAAGTTATGTTTGGATTTTAGAGCAGTTTAGCAGCACACTTCACACCGTCGACAACTGTTAAGTTCATTTTATGTAACTGTTTCCTGTAGCTACTCCAGCGTTGTTGTTGAGAGTTTTTGAACTTTTATTTATTGCTTACAGATGGTCACTTTTTTCACTATTCTCCTATGATAGATTGTTCTCCTTACCACACTCCATATCTAAAGGGTTCAAGCCATGGAGTATAGAGGTACCTCTACACTCCATAGTTCAAGCGTTTGCTAAGTTGTCGAATGAACGATTCGACTTCTCAGCGATTTCGAATGTCAAAAGTGCCAATATAACACGAACGATATTATGCGGGAGACAATTATTGTCTACGCATACTAAGGTAATATCGTTCGTGTTATATGTTTTCTTTATCGCTTCGTTACGCGGTTTGACTTAGTCTAGTGATCGATCACGTGATATTTCGAAAGGTTATGTCAATTTCATACGTTTCGGAGTTATCTAATTTCGTTATCGTTATTAAAACTGTATCGTTATTATAACTGTGTATGGCATAAACGTGAACCCGTCTAAACGCCAAACGATAATCTTAGGTAGCTCAAGATTATTATCTAAACTAGATATTCCCAGCCTGCCATCAATTATGTTTAATAATAATGTCATACCCTTCTCTATTAATGTTAAGAACCTTGGTCTGTATATCGATGGTTGCTTAATATGGAACAAGCATATGCAGAAGGTCAGTCGCAAAACAACTGGGACTTTGCGATCTCTATATCGATTTGAAAATTTTCTTCCCACCAATACCAAGATTTTACTTGTCCGATCACTTATTGTACCGATTATTGATTATGTCGATGTGTGTTGCTCAGACCTGTCTCAACTTCATCTTAATACAATGGATCGTCTGCTTAACAACTGCATCAGATACATTTATGTTCTTCGTAAATACTACCATGTATCTTCCTTTCGTACACAGCTAAACTGGCTGCCTATCCGTCAGCGCAGATATGTTAGAAAATACTATGCACCCTTTTCACAATTTTGAACGATCCATGTGCTCCCGAGTATCTAAAATCTAAATTTCAATACCTGGGAGATTTTCATAATTTTTCTCTCCGTTCCTCGGCCAATCTTAAGTTGCTCACTCCTTTACACCGTACTGGTTATTTATCTCACTCTTTTGCCCTCACGGCCATCAGACTCTGGAACGACATCCCTCTTGACATTAAAAAAGCACCCAACAAATTTGTTTTTAAAAATCAAGTCCGTAAGTATATGATTAAATCGTTGAAAGTTTGAAATAACACAGCTCTTTTTTTCGTATATATTTCATATTTGTTCTGACATAGATAATATTTATACGTATTTTATTATTGTGTATGTATATATTTATAGATACATATTTATGTATTTATGTGTATATAGTGCATGTATATATATGTGTATGTTTTGTTTATTACATATTTTTTTATCCTCTCTATTTGATTATTGCTGCACCGACTCCAAAATGTCTATCTCCGTTCAGCCTAATGGTTGACTGGGAAAGATTGCCCTATGACATTAAGTCCGCCATATGTACTACTTTTTGCATAAAAGCATAAATAAATAAATAAAAATGTGACTTTGTCTAGGGCCTCTGTTTCGACATGATTTGCGGTCGCATTCGCACGCAGTGCGTATTTGAGAAAGCGGGTAGAGCAGAACCCATTCCTCATTCTGCGCTTACGTGTGGATAGTTTGAGATTTAAAATTTTCGGATAAAGTAGTTGTTTTAATTTTTATTTACTATTGTAATTAACCTGTAAAGTCGAGCAAGCTACACATGTGTATCAGACATAAACATCTTTGTCAAAATTTGCTTAAATGTGCAGATGAGATTTATCTTATACCATCATAAATATTACTTATAAAAAAGAACACTATTCTGTCCCTGCTTAAGGGTCCTTTTGTCTTAAGTTATTACCGTAATTAGCTAACCTAATAACATCCTATTGTGACCACATCAATATTAAAAATCTTTTATGTTTTAAATAAATAGATTGCCTTGGCAATCGCACTAAACATTCTAATATAATATTATATGTATTACTTGTGAGATACATAGTGTTTTCGAGCGATGGCTTCTACTTCTTGAATACCAACAACGTACCTATCTACGCCTATTATTTTATTATATTATACATATATAAGTACACTGCTTCATTAATTGCAAATGTAACTTTGTAATCCTATATATTTATATGGGATTACAAAGTTTTTTATGCAGTTGGTGTATCTGGAAAACTGGACAGAAATTGCAAAATATTTTAGTTGTTCCTTGATTATATTTAACACTAATTGTAAAAATTTGAAGCTTCTATGTCTGTAAGAAGTGCCTTAGAGTTTTGATGATCGGTCAGTCAGTCAGTGAGTGACAAAACTAAAAAACTTTTACTAGTTATAATTATTAAACTACTGGTTCAAATTGAATGGCATTTGAAATATGCCGTATCTATACAATGCCAAAAGTGCCAACATATAAAACGAACGATATTAGCAATGAGTAGACAATAATTGTAACTAGGGTAATATCGTTCGTGTTATATTTTTTTTTATCGTTTCGTTACGCGGTTTGACTTAGTCTAGCGATCGATCACGTGATATTTCGAAAGGTTATGTCAGTTTCATACATTTCGGAGTTATCTAATTTCGTTATTGTTAATAAAAATGTGACTTTGTTTAGGGCCTCTGTTTTGACATGATTTGCGGTCGCAAGTATTGCGTATTTGAGAAAGCGGATAGAGCAGAACTCATTGCTCATTCTGCGCTTACGTGAACGTTTTTCCTTGATTATATTTAACACTAATTGTATAAATTTGAAGCTTCTATGTCTGCTAGAAGTGCCTTAGAGTTTTGATGATGGGTCAGTCAGTCAGGGAGTGACAAAACTAAGAAACCTTGACTAGTTATAATTCTTAAACTACTGATTCAAATTGAATGAAATTTGAAATATGCCGTGTTTATATAATGCCTGCTTGTTTAGTTAATAAACAGACTTCTGGTTTTATTCACAATGAGTTTATAGAGGGGTAGAAAATGGCGTTAACTGCTTCGAGAAAAGGATGGTACAACCGTGCCGCTTTTTTGATCGACTTGGTGGGGGCACTACCGTGCACCCAGAAACGCGAAAACTTATAAATCTATTATGAAAAGTTTTGTGCATGCTTTCAAGGCTTAAGAACGCTTAGCATGAAAAGTTCGTCTTTACCTGACTGCCAAGAAGTGGTTATGTTTTGTACAACTACCTACCTACCTACTTATTAAACTACTTATCTACTATAAACGTAATAATGAAATTTTTAATAACTATTATGATTTATAAATAATAAAAATCTAAATAAATATTAATTTGGTTTTTAATTCATTTAAGTATAGCATAATCTTCTTTCTTTATAATATAATAATAGACATAGGAGATATAACGAACTTCGCACTCGGAGCTCTTATCTTTCACTCTGATGATGTATGTAATGATCAGTGGCGAAGCCTCCGTAGAAGCCGAAAAGTCAGGGTTGCCCTTTCAATCTGCTCTATCAATAATATCAACTTATAAAATACCTCGTAAACTGTTTCAAACTATTTCAAATTTCTCGCTCGCTCCTCTGTTCTACACAGGTCTTGACCTCGTAGCATATATGTAACGTCAACTCTTGGCAGTTTGCTTTCAATTCGAAATACACTGATTCGGGTTCTCTCTGTCTCAAAGCGAACACGTAATGGACTGTCAAAATTAGTGAAAGCAAGGAATTGATTTAAATGATTAGTCGTCTCTCTCGCACGCGTAGGCCTTTTACTGGGCTTTCGAGAACATGATCGATCCCTTTCTAATCTGTGGCAAAATGTTCTATAATGAAATAAAACTATGACATGTTTTTATAGCAACTACTATGGAACCAAAAGCTGGGCTTTGCTCTGAAGTTTTTTCGGAGTGCCCGGGCACGCGGGCGATACGTTTGCAAGTTCACTTCACATTTCAATGTTATGTTTGTTTTTGTTATGTCCGTTGAAAATTTACGCTTTTTCAAAGTTTTTTAGTGAAAATGGAGGATTATAGTGTTCCTTGTGACGAATTGAAGTGTGTTAAAGTACTAATCGGTGAGGAAAAGGTAAAGTCTTTAAAATTTGTTGAGAAATACACAAGGCCATGAGCGTCTTTCGGACTTATCAATTATCGTAATTGAAAAACAGTTATTGGTACAGTTAAAATGTACCAATATCTGTTTTTCAATTACCAAAATTTTATGCGGACGTAATCAAATCTTTCCACAAGAAAGAGAGACCATTCGATTAAGAATATAAATAATTAGTTTTTTTTTAATTTTCTACATTGTTTGTACTTCTTTCATGTAGAGTATTTATTGTAAGTAAATATTTTTTTCTTTTGCTCAAGCAAACCCAAACGGCTCATTTCAAAGCCACCAAAAGTATGCAATTGCTAATATGTCATACAATAATAATAATAATAATAATAATAATAATAAAACCACGAAACGGTGCCGGGCTTGGGCGTCTCCCGTTATTTGGCGCCCATAAAATGGATGATGGAAGAAACACAAAAAGGAACGCGCATAGGGCCGCTGCCTGGGGGTCGCCGGGGCGCGTCTGGAGCTGGCGCTGGACGCGGCAGCATGCGGGCCGCCAGCCGAGCGCGAGGAGCTGCACGATCACCTAGCAGCCCCTCGCATCCATCATCCCCACCAGAAGGCTTGGTGTCGGCTGGGTCTTCTCGGACCCAGCAAGCGGCACCCGCCGCTGGTGGAGCACGTCGCATGCGTTGGACAAAATCCATGAACGAAAACGCATTGCGGGCGTACTATAGGGCGAAAGGGGAAGAAACTGTGGGAATAGCGTATAGGTCTCGGATGCATTGCTTTTTTGCTGAGCTGGAGCCGTCTATCCCCGTCACGGAACAAAACCTGGCAGACCGAGTTCGGTACATCATGCGCTCGAAAATATTTGATGATGCCGAACTCGAACGACTACGACGTGAGGCTATTCCGTCGTCGAATGAATCGGCTATGGCTGGAGATGCAGCTCCACATTCGACAGACCAGCATCCACACGTGGAAGCCGCCATGGATCTTCCAGTTGTGGTTGATTCGAACGACGATGAAATAGTCTCCCACGAACTAGAGCAAATGAGGAGTATATTGGAAGAGGCGATTTTGGAAACGCGCAGCACCCCTCTCGAAAATCGACCGCGACTTCCCCGCATACCCTTAAGCAAGCGAAATCGGGCTGTCGTGAGGGCTCTTAACCCAATGCTGGTGACCTATTTGGAAGCCAGCCGGGACCTTTGCGAGACGGACTCGATTCTCTTTGGCGCCGCAGTGGCAGTTTGCCGTATTATTGGCGCCAAACTTCCCATGGCTGGACGCGCTACTACACAAAGTAACGCCATCCCAGCCTGGAGGAAAAGAATCGAGGACCGTATCGCAAAGGCAAGGGCCCTTATCGGCAGACTGACAAGCTTCAGGTCGGGTAATAATAGACCGAGGATTATGCGCACCGTTAGGATGGCGTTTGCTGGGACAAATATCAGTTTGTCCCAGCCGGATATCACGCAGAAACTAACGGAGCGCATAGACGACCTGAAGCAAAAGATCGCTGCTTGGGGGAAGCGGATTCGACGATTTTCCGAGGGGTCAAGGCGGTTCAACCAGAATCGTCTCTTCCAGAGTGATCAGAAGAGGCTCTATAAATTATTGGAGCGACCAAAGGTATGTGGAGCGGGCCAAGGACCGGATCAGGCTGACATTATCGCATTCTGGCGTGGCCTGTGGTCAGAGCCCGTAAACCACAGTGAGGGCCCTTGGATGGAAGTTGTGGCGAGCCAGGGTGCGAGTGTTACGCCTATGGACCCCATCACCATAACGCCGGAAGACGTGGCTGAGGCGGTCCGTAGGGCCCCGAACTGGAAAAGTCCGGGGCTCGACGGGCTGCATCATTACTGGCTGAAGGGGTTCGTAGTGTGTCACGCTGTGCTCGCCCGACAGTTTCAAGAGGCTCTCGACCAGAAGTCACTCCCGAGCCTCTTCACTACTGGGATCACTCACTTGGTTCCTAAAGATCAGGATACCACAGACCCGAGCAAATACCGCCCCATCACGTGTCTACCCACCATATATAAGACACTGACATCCATTTTGAGCGCGAGAATCACTCGTCACCTGGAGCTAAACCAGGTGATGTCACGCGCTCAAAATGGATGTCGGGGCGGTGGTCGTGGAACTAAGGAACCACTCCTCATTGACGCGGTCATAGGCAAAGTGGTGAAACGCAACCGTCGGAACTTCTCTGCCGCCTGGATAGACTACAGAAAGGCGTTCGACTCGGTGCCCCATACATGGCTAAAGAGGGTCCTCGAGCTGTACAAGATTGACTGTACAGTTAGAGACTTCCACGAGCAGTGTATGGGGCAGTGGAGTACGATCCTTTGTCATCTGGGCGAGCGGATGACGGCTGCGGAGAACCACATAAGGATAAGAAGGGGTATCTTCCAGGGCGATTGTCTGAGTCCAATCTGGTTCTGCCTCTCTCTTAACCCTCTCAGTACCTTACTGGAGGGCTCCGGGAGGGGGATTTCAGCTACGGAAAGGAGGGACAAAAGTGACCCACCTTTTTTATATGGATGACCTCAAGTTATTCGCCTCCAGTCGCTCCCATCTTATGGAACTGCTAAACATCACTTGTGAATTTAGCAGTTCCATTGGAATGGAGCTGGGGACGGATAAGTGTGCGGTCCTCCATGTTGAAAGGGGAAGGGTTGCTAACTCTGAGGGCATAGACTTGTCTATGCCCGTCAACTTAAGGACCCTTTCCGAGGCTGAAACATACCGATACCTGGGTATGTCACAGAACATCGGTATCGATGAGGCTGGTATGAAACAGTCAGTTTGCGACGTGTTTTATGCACGCTTGACCAAAGTGCTTAACAGCCTTTTGTCCGGTGTGAATAAGACACACGCATATAACGGCTGGGTCATGCCTGTCCTCATGTATACCTTTGGCATACTCAGGTGGACTCAGACTGAGCTTAACGCCCTGGATAGAAAAGTCCGCACTACCATGACGTCCCATAGGATGCGTCATCCGAGATCGTCGGTAATGAGGCTGTACTTGCCGCGGAAGTATGGTGGGCGTGGCTTTCTGAGCGCGCTCACCATGCATAATCGCGAAGTGTGCAGTCTCCGTCAGTACTTCTTGGCGAGATCGGATGATCCATTCTATAATGACGTCATTTCTAGTGATAAAGGGCTTACCCCTCTATCCTTAGCCAACGAGCAATGGCAGGACCCAGCAGTGCTTAGCAATTCCGACCGGGAGACCGTATGGAAGGAGAAGGAGCTCCACGGGAGGTACTACAAGGCTCTACATGAGCCCTTCGTAGATACAGTCGCCTCCCTCAACTGGCTACGTTTCGGTGACCTCTTCGGGGAAACCGAGGGTTTTGTCTGTGCAATACAGGATCAGGTTATTAAGACCAACAACTATCGGAGATACATCCTAAAGGATGGCACCGTCGACGTCTGTCGAGCTTGTCGCCATCCCGGGGAGTCACTTAGGCATGTCATCTCCGGTTGTTCGGCGCTTTCTAACTCTGAGTACTTGCACAGGCACAACCTAGTAGCCAGAATTCTACACCAGGAGCTCGCTCTGAAATACGGTCTCGTGGACCGGAAATTGCCGTATTACAAGTACTTGCCGGAAGCCGTGCTCGAAAATGACCGCGCCAGGCTCTACTGGGACCGGGCCATCATCACAGACAGGACTATTCTTGCGAATAAGCCTGATATTGTGCTGATGGACCGGGCACAGTCAAGGATATTTTTGGTCGATATTACCATCCCGTATGACGAGAACCTCGTGAAAGCCGAAACAGATAAGCAATCAAAATATCTGGACCTGGCTCACGAGGTGACCGACATGTGGGGTGGTCTGCCGACCGAAATTATTCCTGTAGTCGTCTCTGCGAATGGGCTAATCCCAGTTAGCCTCTCTGGTCATCTGAGGCGACTGGGACTCCGTGACGGACCGCTCCGGGCTCAAATGCAGAAGGCGGTGCTCCTTGATACTGCCCGCATCGTCCGCCGGTTTCTTTCCCTTTCTTCCTAACCCTTGGCCGTTTGGTCTCCCCTGCCGAGGGCTTCCATCTGGTTGGGCTTTTATTTATTTATGTATTTTTGTATTTATTTTATTTTATTGATATTTATGTATATTTATCCTTTCATTTTCGTTTATAATTATATATTTATACATCCCAACCAGATGAGAAAACTATATAGATACCCCACACATAATAATAATTTACTTATTTATGTACTTTTATATTTATTTTATGTTATTGATATTTATGTATATTTATCTTTTCATTTTCATTTATAATTATATATTTATAGAACCCAACCAGATGAGAAAACTATATAGATACCCCATGAATAATAATAAAGACGCCCAGGCCCGGCGCCGTTTAATGGCCTAACCATGAAACGGCGCCGGGTCTGGGCGTCTCCCGCTAAATGACGCCCTAAAATGGATGATGGAATCAAATGGAACGCGCAAAGGGCCGCTGCCTGGAGGTCGCCAGGGCGCGTCTGGAGCTGGCGCTGGACGCGACAGCATGCGAACCGCCAGCCGAGCGCGAGGTGCTGCACGACCACCCAGCAGCTCCTCGCATCCATCATCCCCACCAGCTGGCTTGGTGTCGGCAGGGTCTTCGCGGGCTCAGCAATCGGCACCCGCCACTGGTGGAGTACGCCGCATGCGTTGGACAACCCAGATGAACAGCAACGCATTGAGGGCGTATTTTAGGGCGAAAGGGGGAGAAACTGGAGGTTTTGCGTATCGGGCAAGGATGCATCGACTTTTTGCTGAGCTGGAGCCATCTGTAACCGTCACCGAGCAAAACCTGGCAGACCGAGTTCGGTATATCTTGCGCTCAAATACATTTGATGTCACCGAACTCGAACGGCTACGACGTGAGGCTGTTCCTTCATCGGGTGAAAATGCTGCGGCTGAGGATGCGGCGCCACAACTTGCCGAGCAAACGGCAAATGTGGATGCCGCCGTGAATACGCCAGTTGTGGTTGATTCAAACGATGATGCAGCAGTCGCCCAGGAACTGGAACTAGAGCAAATGAGGAGTACATTGGAAGAGGCGATTGTGGAAACGCGCAGTACGACTCTCGAAAATCGACCGCGACTTCCCCGCTTAGCCCTAAGCAAGCGGAATCGGGCTGTCGTGAGGGCTCTGAACCCAATGCTGGTTACCTATTTGGAAGCCAGCCGGGACCTTTGCGAGACGGACCCAATTCTTTTTGGCGCCGCACTGGCAGTCTGCCGTATTATAGGTGCCAAACTTTCCACGGCTGGACGCGCTACTGGACAAAGTAGTGCTATCCCAGCCTGGAGAATAAGAATTGAAGAACGTATCGCAAAGGCTAGGGCCCTCATCGGCAGACTGATATGCTTCAGGTCAGGCAATACCAGGCCAAGGATTGTGCGCACCGTCAGGATGGCGTTTGCTGGGACAAATGTTAGTTTGTCCCAGCCGGATATAATGCAAAAACTGACGGAGCGCATAGACGACCTGAAGCAAAGAATAGCTGCTTGGGGAAAGCGGATTCGGCGATATACCGAGAGGTCGACACGGTTCAACCAGAATCGTCTCTTCCAGAGTGATCAGAAGAGGCTCTATAAATCATTGGAGCGACCAATAGTAAGTGGAACGGGCCCTGCACCAAATCAGGCCGACACGGTCGCATTCTGGCGCAGCCTGTGGTCAGAGCCCGTAAACCACAACGAGGGCCCTTGGACGGAAGTTGTGGCGAGTCAGTGTGCGAGTATTACGCCCATGGACCCCGTCATCATAACGCCGGATGACGTAGCTGAGGCGGTCCGTAGGGCCCCGAACTGGAAAAGTCCGGGGCTTGACGGGCTGCATCACTACTGGCTGAAGGGGTTCACGGTGTGTCACTCTGTGCTCGCCCGACAGTTTCAAGAGGCTCTCAACCAGAAGTCGCTCCCAAGCCTCTTCACTACTGGGATCACTCATTTGGTTCCTAAAGATCAGGGTGCCACAGACCCGAGCAAATACCGCCCCATCACGTGTCTACCGACCATATACAAGACACTAACATCCATTTTGAGCGCAAGAATCGCTCGTCACCTGGATTTAAATCAAGTGATGTCGCGCGCTCAAAATGGATGTCGGGGCGGCGGTCGAGGAACCAAGGAACCACTCCTCATTGACGCGGTCATTGGCAAAGTGGTGAAACGCAACCGTCGGAACTTCTCCGCCGCCTGGATAGATTACAGAAAGGCATTTGACTCGGTGCCCCATACATGGCTAAAGAGGGTCCTCGAGCTGTACAAGATTGACTGTACAGTTCGAGACTTCCTCGGGCAGTGTATGGGGCAGTGGAGTACGATCCTCTGTCATCTAGGCGAGCGGATGACGGCTGCGGAAAGCCGCATAAGGATAAGAAGGGGTATATTCCAGGGCGACTGTCTGAGTCCAATCTGGTTCTGCCTCTCTTTGAACCCTCTCAGTACTTTACTGGAGGGCTCCGGGAGGGGATTTCAGCTTCGGAAAGGAGGTACAAAAGTGACCCACCTTTTCTATATGGATGACCTCAAATTATTCGCCTCCAGTCGCTCCCATCTTATGGAATTGCTAAACATCACGTGTGAATTTAGCAATTCTATTAGAATGGAGCTGGGGACGGATAAGTGTGCGGTCCTCCATGTTGAAAGGGGAAGGGTTGCTAACTCTGAGGGCATAGACTTATCTATGCCCGTCAACTTAAGAACCCTTTCCGAGGCTGAAACATACCGATACCTGGGTATGTCACAGAACATCGGTATCGATGAGGCTGGTATGAAACAGTCAGTTTGCGACGTGTTTTATACACGCTTGACCAAAGTGCTTAACAGCCTTTTGTCCGGTGTGAATAAGGCACACGCATATAACGGTTGGGTCATGCCTGTCCTCATGTATACCTTTGGCATACTCAGGTGGACTCAGACTGAACTTAACGCCCTGGATAGAAAAGTCCGCACTACCATGACGTCCCATAGGATGCATCATCCGAGATCGTCGGTAATGAGGCTGTACTTGCCGCGGAAGCATGGTGGTCGTGGCTTCTTGAGCGCGCTCACCATGCATAATCGCGAAGTGTGCAGCCTCCGTGATTACTTCCTTGCGAGATCGGATGATCCATTCTATAAGGACGTCATTTCTTGTGATAAAGGACTTACCCCTCTATCCTTAGCCAACGAGCAATGGCAAGACCCGGCAGTGCAGAGCATTTCCGACCGGGAGACCGTATGGAAGGAGAAGGAGCTCCACGGGAGGTTCTACAAGGCTCTACATGAGCCTTTCGTAGACACAGTAGCCTCCCTCCACTGGCTACGCTTTGGTGATCTCTTCGGGGGAAACCGAGGGATTTGTCTGTGCAATACAGGATCAGGTTATTAAGACCAACAACTATCGGAGATACATCCTAAAGGATGGCACCGTCGACATCTGTCGAGCTTGTCGCCATCCCGGTGAGTCACTTAGGCATGTTATCTCCGGTTGTTCGGCGCTTTCTAACTCTGAGTACTTGCACAGGCACAACCTAGTAGCCAGAATTCTACACCAGGAGCTCGCTCTGAAATACGGTCTCGTGGATCGGGAATTGCCGTATTAAAAGTACTTGCCGGAAGCCGTGCTCGAAAATGATCGCGCCAGGCTTTATTGGGACCGGGCCATCATCACAGACAGGACTATTCTTGCGAATAAGCCTGATATTGTGCTGATGGACCGGGCACAGTCAAGGATATTTTTGGTCGACATTACCAATCCGTATGACGAGAACCTCGTGAAAGCCGAAACAGACAAGCAAACAAAATATCTGGACCTGGCTCACGAGGTGACCGACATGTGGGGTGGTCTGCCGACCGAAATTATTCCTGTAGTCGTCTCTGCAAACGGGCTAATCCCAGTCAGCCTCTCGGGTCATCTGAGGCGGCTGGGACTACGTGGCGGACCGCTCCAGGTTCAAATGCAGAAGGCGGTGCTCCTCGATACCGCCCGCATCGTCCGCCGGTTTCTTTCCCTTTCCCCCTAACCCTCGGCCGTTTGGTCTCCCCTGCCGAGGGTCTCCATCTGGTTGGGCTTTTACTTATTTATGTACTTTTATATTTATTTTATGTTATTGATATTTATGTATATTTATCTTTTCATTTTCATTTATAATTATATATTTATAGAACCCAACCAGATGAGAAAACTATATAGATACCCCATAATAATAATAATATAATAAGGCGTAGGGAAGTGACGACCCCATCGCCCGCTGACGTAACAGTTAAGTGACAAAACTGCTACGTCAACGCAGTCAGTCAGCGCCTTGCCGAGAGGTGTGAGCGCCGTGCCTCGGCAGAATTCAGGGTGCAAAAGCCCGTTTGTGGATGATGGAGAAAAAGATTGTGCGCAAAGGGCCGCTGCCTGGAAGTCGCCGGGGCGCGTCTGGAGCTGGCGCTGGACGCGACAGCATGCGGGCCGCCAGCCGAGCGCGGGGTGTTGCAAGACCACCTAGCAGCCCCCCGCATCCATCATCCCCACCAGAAGGCTTGGTGTCGGCTGGGTCTTCTCGGACTCAGCAAGCGGCACCCGCCGCTGGTGGAGCACGTCGCATGCGTTGGTCTAAATCAATGAATGAAAACGCACTGCGGGCGTATTTTAGGGCAAAAGGGGAAGAAACTGGATGTTTGGCGTATCGGGCTCGGATGCATCGCTTTTTTGCAGAGCTGGAGCCATCTCTATCCGTCACTGAGCAAAACCTGGCAGACCGAGTTCGGTACATCCTGCGCTCCAACATATTTGATGACGCCGAACTCGAACGACTACGACGTGAGGCTATTCCTTCATCGAATGGAATTGCTACGGCTGGGAATGCGGCGACACTAGATGCGCAACAAACTGCATACGTGGATGCTGCCGTCAACATTCCAGTTGTGGCTGATTCAGACGATGATGGAATAGTCTCCCACGAACTAGAGAAAATGAGGAGCATATTGGAAGAGTCGATGCTGGAAACGCGCAGCATGCCTCTCGAAAATCGACCGCGACTTCCCCGCATATCCCTTAGCAAGCGAAATCGGGCTGTCGTGCGGGCTCTTAACCCAATGCTGGTGACCTATTTGGAAGCCAGCCGGGACCTTTGCGAGACGGACTCAATTCTTTTTGGCGTCGCACTGGAAGTATGCCGTATTATTGGCGCCAAACTTCCCGTGGCTGGACGCGCTACTCAAAAAAGTAGCGCCATCCCAGCCTGGAGAAAAAGAATTGAGGACCGTATCGCAAAGGCAAGGGCCCTTATCCGCAGACTGACAAGCTTCAGGTCGGGTAATAATAGACCGAGGGTTGTGCGCACCGTTAGAATGGCGTTTGCTGGGACAAATATCAGTTTGTTCCAGCCGGATATCACGCAGAAACTAACGGAGCGCATAGACGACATGAAGCAAAAAATCGCTGCTTGGGGGAAGCAGATTCGACGATTTAGCGAGAGGTCAAGGCGGTTCAACCAGAATCGTCTCTTCCAGAGTGATCAGAAGAGACTCTATAAATAATTGGAGCGACCAGAGGTATGTCGAGCGGGCCCGGGACCGGATCAGGCTGACACTGTCGCATTTTGGCGTGGCCTGTGGTCAGAGCCCGTAAACCACAGCGAGGGCCCTTGGACGGAAGTTGTGGCGAGCCAGAGTGCGAGTATTACGCCTATGGACCCCGTCACCATAACGCCTGAAGACGTGGCTGAGGCGGTCCGTAGGGCCCCGAACTGGAAAAGTCCGGGGCTCGACGGGCTGCATCACTACTGGCTGAAGGGGTTCGTAGTGTGTCACGCTGTCCTCGCCCGACAGTTTCAAGAGGCTCTCGACCAGAAGTCGCTCCCGAGCCTCTTCACTACTGGGATCACTCATTTGGTTCCTAAAGATCAGGATACCACAGACCCGAGCAAATACCGCCCCATCACGTGTCTACCCACCATATGTAAGACACTGACATCCATTTTGAGCGCGAGAATCACTCGTCACCTGGAGCTAAATCAGGTGATGTCACGCGCTCAAAATGCATGCCGGGGCGGTGGTCGTGGAACCAAGGAACCACTCCTCATTGACGCGGTCATTGGCAAAGTGGTGAAACGCAACCGTCGGAATTTCTCCGCCGCCTGGATAGACTACAGAAAGGCATTCGACTCGGTGCCCCATACATGGCTAAAGAGAGTCCTCCAGCTGTACAAGATTGACTGTACAGTTGGAGACTTCCTCGAGCAGTGTATGGGGCACTGGAGTACGATCCTTTGCTATCTGGGCGAGCGGATGATGGCTGCGGAGAACCACATAAGGATAAGAAGGGGTATCTTCCAGGGCGATTGTCTGAGTCCAATCTGGTTTTGCCTCTCTCTGAACCCTCTCAGTACCTTACTGGAGGGCTCCGGGAGGGGATTTCAGCTACGGAAAGGAGGGACAAAAGTGACCCACCTTTTCTATATGGGTGACCTCAAGTTATTCGCCTCCAGTCGCTCCCATCTTATGGAATTGCTAAACATCACTTGTGAATTTAGCAATTCTATTGGAATGGAGCTGGGGACGGATAAGTGTGCGGTCCTCCATGTTGAAAGGGGGAGGGTTGCTAACTCTGAGGGCATAGACTTATCTATGCCCGTCAACTTAAGGACCCTTTCCGAGGCTGAAACATACCGATACCTGGGTATGTCACAGAACATCGGTATCGATGAGGCTGGTATGAAACAGTCAGTTTGCGACGTGTTTTATGCACGCTTGACCAAAGTGCTTAACAGCCTTTTGTCCGGTGTGAATAAGACACACGCATATAACGGCTGGGTCATGCCTGTCCTCATGTATACCTTTGGCATACTCAGGTGGACTCAGACTGAACTTAACGCCCTGGATAGAAAAGTCCGCACTACCATGACGTCCCACAGGATGCATCATCCGAGATCGTCGGTAATGAGGCTGTACTTGCCGCGAAAGCATGGTGGGCGTGGCTTCTTGAGCGCGCTCACCATGCATAATCGCGAAGTGTGCAGCCTCCGTAATTACTTCCTGGCGAGATCGGATGATCCATTCTATAAGGACGTCATTTCTAGTGATAAAGGACTTACCCCTCTATCCTTAGCCAACGAGCAATGGCAGGACCCGGCAGTGCAGACAATTTCCGACCGGGAGACCGTATGGAAGGAGAAGGAGCTCCACGGGAGGTTCTACAAGGCTCTACATGAGCCTTTCGTAGACACAGTAGCCTCCCTCCACTGGCTACGCTTTGGTGATCTCTTCGGGGGAAACCGAGGGTTTTGTCTGTGCAATACAGGATCAGGTTATTAAGACCAACAACTATCGGAGATACATCCTAAAGGATGGCACCGTGGACATCTGTCGAGCTTGTCGCCATCCCGGTGAGTCACTTAGGCATGTCATCTCCGGTTGTTCGGCGCTTTCTAACTCTGAGTACTTGCACAGGCACAACCTAGTAGCCAGAATTCTACACCAGGAGCTCGCTCTGAAATACGGTCTCGTGGACCGGAAATTGCCGTATTACAAGTACTTGCCGGAGCCGTGCTCGAAAATAATCGCGCCGGGCTCTATTGGGACCGGGCCATCATCACAGACAGGACTATTCTTGCGAATACACCTGATATTGTGCTGATGGACCGGGCACAGTCAAGGATATTTTTGGTCGACATTACCAATCCGTATGACGAGAACCTCGTGAAAGCCGAAACAGACAAGCAAACAAAATATCTGGACCTGGCTCACGAGGTGACTGACATGTGGGGTGGTCTGCCGACCGAAATTATTCCTGTAGTCGTCTCTGCAAACGAGCTAATCCCAGTCAGCCTCTCGGGTCATCTGAGGCGACTGGGACTACGTGGCGGACCGCTCCGGACTCAAATGCAGAAGGCGGTGCTCCTCGATACCGCCCGCATCGTCCGCCGGTTTCTTTCCCTTTCCCCCTAACCCTCGGCCGTTCGGTCTCCCCTGCCGAGGGCCTCCATCTGGTTGGGCTTTTATTTATTTATGTATTTTTATATTTATTTTATGTTATTGATATTTATGTATATTTATCTTTTCATTTTCATTTATAATTATATATTTATAGAACCCAACCAGATGAGAAAACTATATAGATACCCCACAATAGTAATAATAATAATAATAAGCCCCCTAAACAACCACACGTCCTGATTGACCATCTAATCACGTGGGGGGGCGGACACACGAATGAGAAATTACTGGCGTGGCTAACGTGGCTCTGGAAACCCATAAATAAAATGGATACTCGTTCTAAAAGTAAACGTATAGGGCCGCTACCCGGGAGCGATCGCCGCGGTGCACCTGGAGCTGACGCTGGGTGTCACAGCATGCGATCCGTCAGCGGTGAGGAGTTGAACAGGCGGGCTCCCACCCACAAATATACTACAGCCGAACTCATTGACGATGGTGACAGACTGACGGACAGGACAGACACCCCTGTAGAACCATATAGTCCAAGCACAGTATCATACACACCCTCGAGGCCAACATCACCATCCATACCATCGTCACCAACACCTCCATCACCCCCTATTACTAGTTTAAATACAGTTCCACCTACTCCGACCTTGAGTGCTGCGCGGGAGGTATCTACCTTCTTACCCGCGTCCACCAAGGCAGGAAAAGCAAGTGTTCGAATGAAATGGAGTAAAGAAGTAAATCTATTTATCATGAGAACTTATCTATACATTACTAAATTAGAGACCGATATGACCACGTACAGACAACAATTACACGCACATTTCACTCGACAATATCCAGAAATTACTGTTTCAGAACAAAGAATCTCAGACCAAAGAAGAACCATAGTTAGGAATAAACTTCTATCCCAAGAAGTTGTAGATCAATTAAAAGAAGAAGTACGAACACAATTAATTCAAGAAGAAGCGACTAACAGCTATGTAGAAACTAATATCACACAAACCACAAGTGAAAATGATCGCCAAGTACAACCACAATTGCTCAGTCAATCACAACTCATTTATACACAATCTCAGCCATGCGACTATTCTGCAACAAATATCACACACATCCACACAAACCGAAACCGTAATCCTAACGCTAGAGACCATAGTTGTCCCAGATCAACACTTAACAACAGATACATATATCCAAGAAATCAATGTGAAATTTAGAACAACAATAACGTTATACTCTGGGATGGATCCCGCAGCGCGACCAAGATTACCTAAACTTAAGTACACACCTAACCTGTTTCGACTGGTTAATTTATTTAATGAAACTATACTCACACAATATATATCTGATGACACACACCTTATAGACATACATTTACTTATATACTGCACAGCGATAGTAATATCCGAAGAATTGAACTTTAAAATCACAGACAATGCAAGAACTACAAGAACAAGACAAAATACAGAACCAGCATGGCAACAGAGACTAGAAAAAGACATTGAAAAATTAAGAGCAAACATAGGTAGACTCACTCAGTATATTAACGGTTGTAGATCTAATAAACTAGTCAAAAAAGTAGAGGTCATATTTAGGAATAATGCTACGCATACCAGACACGAAAAAAGTAACACAAGACCTGAAGAATTTTTAGACACGTTAAAACAAAAATTAGCACTTAAAGTTCATAGGCTCAAAAGGTATAAAAAAGCACAACAGCGCAAAAAAAATAACGTCAGATTTGCCACAAACGAAAAATTGTTTTATAGAAACTTACACAAACCACAAACAGACATAATCGATGAACGTAACACACATACACCTAACCTACCTACAAAAGAACAACTAGAAGCATATTGGGCGAGTATTTGGGAAGAGCAAAAACAACATAACGACAAAGCATCTTGGATAATTGAAGAGGAAGCAAAATGGAGAGATATTGACGAAATGGAATTCGAAGAGGTAACAGAGTTAGACATAACACTCATTACAGCTAGGTTACATAATTGGAAATCACCTGGTATAGAAAAAATTCATAATTTTTGGTACAAAAAAATTAACGTCTCTACACAAACCTTTAGCAAGAAATTTAACAGATATAATAACAGGACAACAGAACACTCCCGAATTTATTGCAACAGGAATTACTTATATGCTACCTAAAACAAAAAATTCACCTCAGCCTTCCCAATACCGACCAATTACATGCCTACCCACAATTTACAAAATATTGACATCTGCAATCACAAAGAAAATTCAGTCGCACATTGAACACCACAATATAATAGCAGAAGAACAGAAGGGATGTAGACAGGGCCACATGGGATGTAAAGAACAGCTGATAATTGATTCCACTATTCATAAACACGCCACCTCTAAAAATAGAAATTTACATTGCACCTATATTGATTATAAAAAAGCGTTTGACAGTGTTCCTCATTCATGGTTATTAAAAATATTAGAAATTTATAGAATAAATCCGAAAATAATCGATTTCTTACGCCGAATAATGTTACAATGGAAAACAACACTACAAATAAATTGTAACCAAAATACTGTCACCACGCGACAAATCTCAATCACAAAAGGCATCTACCAAGGTGACTCCCTGAGCCCACTGTGGTTCTGTCTCGCCCTAAACCCTCTGTCTCATTTGCTGCAGAGCTGCGGGGCCGGATATTGCCTCAAACTTAATACAGACGAAACAACAATATCGCATCTTATATACATGGACGACATCAAATTATATGCAAAAACAGACAAGGATATGAAGAAATTAATAGATATAACAACAGAATTCAGTAGCGATATTAATATGCATTTTGGTTTAGATAAATGTAAAACACTTCACATTGTAAGAGGCAAAGTAAGGCCCGGCGACTATGTGGTAAATGAAACGGAGGCTATTACAGCAATGGAATCGACTGACTTATACAAATATTTAGGGTATGTCCAACTTAAAAGTCTTGACCACGTACGAATTAAAAATTCTCTCACTACGGAATACAAGAGAAGACTTAACGCCGTTTGTAAAACTCAACTTTCAAGTAAACATCTCATCAAAGCCATTAACACCTATGCCATCCCCATATTAACGTACTCATTCGGAGTTATAAAATGGTCCAAAACTGATGCAGAACAATTAGAGCGAACTACACGTACAACACTCACGAAACACAATAACCTACACCCTAAATCCGCCATAGAGAGACTAACAATAAAACGAGAACATGGAGGGAGAGGCCTAATGGATATCCAGCACCTATGGCGGAAACAAGTTAGTCGATTAAAATCATTCTTCTATACAAAATCCCATACTAGCAATATTCATAAAGCCATCGTAACGAATGATATTAACTACACTCCACTTAACTTAAGCAATCAGATTGAATCCCAAAACATTACTAGTGATAACCCACAGACACACAAAATTGACGAATGGAAGAAGAAAGTTCTCCACGGTCGGCACCCTCATGACTTAGAGCAATCCCACATAAATAAGTTAGCTTCAAATAAGTGGCTGAAAATAGGCAACTTATTTCCAGAAACAGAAGGATTTATAATAGCTATTCAAGACCAGATCATAAACACAAAAAATTACAGAAAATATATAATCAAAGATCCTACGGTAAATAATGACAAATGTCGCAAATGCCACACACATCCAGAAACCATTCAACACATCACAGGCGCATGCACAACTCTCACACAGACTGACTACACTCACAGACACAATCAGGTGGCCAATGTCATTCATCAAAAACTAGCACTCAAACACGCACTCATTCCAGATGCCAACACCCCGTACTACAATTATACACCAAAACATACTCTAGAAAACACCACACATAAACTTTTTTACGACCGCGGTATTCTCACCGATAGAACAATCCACTATAACCGACCAGATATAATTCTACAAGATAAAATAAATAATATTACTTACCTGATAGACATTGCAGTCCCCAACACACACAACTTGCAGAAGACGATAACTGAAAAAATTTGTAAGTACGCAGAACTTAAAGATGAAGTGACTAGAATCTGGCAACAAGAAAAAGTATATGTGGTCCCTATAGTCCTCTCCACAACAGGTGTCATCCCAAATCATCTCCTCCGTAGCTTAAAAATAATACAACTAAAAGAAACTCTATATATTACACTTCAAAAAGCAGCTATATTAAATACATGCAGAATAGTTAGGAAATTCATGCAGATAGAAGAAAATGAAATAGGACCTCATCAAATCACATGAACTACACAACACACCACACGCTGCATTTGCTTTGGCTTCGGCCCGTAAATGTAGTTGAAATCCAGCCTAGAGCTGAGAAGTGAAAACACTTACCGTAAATAATAATAATAATAATATGTAGTCGTCTCTGCAAACAGGCTAATCCCAGTCAGCCTCTCGGGTCATCTGAGGCGACTGGGACTACGTGGCGGACCGCTCCGGGCTCAAATGCAGAAGGCGGTGCTCCTCGATACCGCCCGCATCGTCCGCCGGTTTCTTTCCCTTTCCCCCTAACCCTCGGCCGTTTGGTCTCCCCTGCCGAGGGCCTCCATCTGGTTGGGCTTTTATTTATTTATGTATTTTTATATTTATTTTATGTTATTGATATTTATGTATATTTATCTTTTCATTTTCATTTATAATTATATATTTATAGAACCCAACCAGATGAGAAAACTATATAGATACCCCACAATAATAATAATAATAATAATAATAAGGATGATGGAGAAAAAGATAGTGCGCAAAGGGCCGCTGCCTGGAGGTCGCCAGGGCGCGTCTGGAGCTGGCGCTGGACGCGACAGCATGCGGGCCGCCAGCCGAGCGCGGGGTGTTGCAAGACCACCTAGCAGCCCCCCGCATCCATCATCCCCACCAGAAGGCTTGGTGTCGGCTGGGTCTTCTCGGACTCAGCAAGCGGCACCCGCCGCTGGTGGAGCACGTCGCATGCGTTGGTCTAAATCAATGAATGAAAACGCACTGCGGGCGTATTTTAGGGCAAAAGGGGAAGAAACTGGATGTTTGGCGTATCGGGCTCGGATGCATCGCTTTTTTTGCAGAGCTGGAGCCATCTCTATCCGTCACTGAGCAAAACCTGGCAGACCGAGTTAGGTACATCCTGCGCTCCAACATATTTGGTGACGCCGAACTCGAGCGACTACGACGTGAGGCTATTCCTTCATCGAATGGAAATGCTACGGCTGGGAATGCGGCGCCACTAGATGCGCAACAAACTGCATATGTGGATGCTGCCGTCAACATTCCATTTGTGGCTAATTCAGACGATGATGGAATAGTCTCCCACGAACTAGAGAAAATGAGGAGCATATTGGAAGAGTCGATGCTGGAAACGCGCAGCACGCCTCTCGAAAATCGACCGCGACTTCCCCGCATACCCCTTAGCAAGCGAAATCGGGCTGTCGTGCGGGCTCTTAACCCAATGCTGGTGACCTATTTGGAAGCCAGCCGGGACCTTTGCGAGACGGATTCAATTCTTTTTGGCGCCGCACTGGCAGTATGCCGTATTATTGGCGCCAAACTTCCCGTGGCTGGACGTGCTACTCAAAAAAGTAGCGCCATCCCAGCCTGGAGAAAAAGAATTGAGGACCGTATCGCAAAGGCAAGGGCCCTTATCGGCAGACTGACAAGCTTCAGGTCGGGTAATAATAGACCGAGGATTATGCGCACCGTTAGGATGGCGTTTGCTGGGACAAATATCAATTTGTTCCAGCCGGATATCACGCAAAAACTAACGGAGCGCATAGATGACCTGAAGCAAAAAATCGCTGCTTGGGGGGAAGCGGATTCGACGATTTAGCGAGAGGTCAAGGCGGTTCAACCAGAATCGTCTCTTCCAGAGTGATCAGAAGAGGCTCTATAAAACATTGGAGCGACCAAAGGTATGTGGAGCGGGCCCAGGACCGGATCAGGCTGACACTGTCGCATTTTGGCGTGGCCTGTGGTCAGAGCCCGTAAACCACAGCGAGGGCCCTTGGATGGAAGTTGTGGCGAGCCAGAGTGCAAGTGTTACGCCTATGGACCCCGTCACCATAACGCCTGAAGACATGGCTGAGGCGGTCCGTAGGGCCCCGAACTTGAAAAGTCCGGGGCTCGACGGGCTGCATCATTACTGGCTGAAGGGGTTCGTAGTGTGTCACGCTGTGCTCGCCCGACAGTTTCAAGAGGCTCTCGATCAGAAGTCGCTCCCGAGCCTCTTCACTACTGGGATCACTCATTTGGTTCCTAAAGATCAGGATACCACAGACCCGAGCAAATACCGCCCCATCACGTGTCTACCCACCGTATATAAGACACTGACATCCATTTTGAGCGCGAGAATCACTCGTCACCTGGAGCTAAATCAGGTGATGTCACGCGCTCAAAATGGATGCCGGGGCGGTGGTCGTGGAACCAAGGAACCACTCCTCATTGACGCGGTCATTGGCAAAGTGGTGAAACGCAACCGTCGGAATTTCTCCGCCGCCTGGATAGACTACAGAAAGGCATTCGACTCGGTGCCCCATACATGGCTAAAGAGAGTCCTCCAGCTGTACAAAATTGACTGTACAGTTGGAGACTTCCTCGAGCAGTGTATGGGGCAATGGAGTACGATCCTTTGCTATCTGGGCGAGCGGATGATGGCTGCGGAGAACCACATAAGGATAAGAAGGGGTATCTTCCAGGGCGATTGTCTGAGTCCAATCTGGTTTTGCCTCTCCCTGAACCCTCTCAGTACTTTACTGGAGGGCTCCGGGAGGGGATTTCAGCTTCGGAAAGGAGGTACAAAAGTGACCCACCTTTTCTATATGGATGACCTCAAGTTATTCCTCAAGAACAAAAAGACCTCAAGATATTGCAAATGAGGAGTACATTGGAGGAGGCGATTGTGGAAACGCGCAGTACGCCTCTCGAAAATCGACCGCGACTTCCCCGCTTAGCCCTAAGTAAGCGGAATCGGGCTGTCGTGAGGGCTCTGAACCCAATGCTGGTTACCTACTTGGAAGCCAGCCTGGAACTTTGCGAGACGGACTCAATTCTTTTTCGCGCCGCACTGGCAGTCTGCCGTATTATAGGCGCCAAACTTTCCACGGCTGGACGCGCTACTGGACAAAGTAGTGCTATCCCAGCCTGGAGAATAAGAATTGAGGAACGTATCGCAAGGGCTAGGGTCCTCATCGGCAGACTGATATGCTTCAGGTCAGGCAATACCAGGCCAAGGATTGTGCGCACCGTCAGGATGGCGTTTGCTGGGACAAATGTTAGTTTGTCCCAGCCGGATATAACGCAAAAACTGACGGAGCGCATAGACGACCTGAAGCAAAGAATCGCTGCTTGGGGAAAGCGGATTCGGCGATATACCGAGAGGTCGACACGGTTCAACCAGAATCGTCTCTTCCAGAGTGATCAGAAGAGACTCTACAAATCATTGGAGCGACCAATAGTAAGTGGAACGGGTCCAGCACCAAATCAGGCCGACACGGTCGCATTCTGGCGCAGCCTGTGGTCAGAGCCCGTAAACCACAACGAGGGCCCTTGGACGGAAGTTGTGGCGAGTCAGTGTGCGGGTATTATGCCCATGGACCCCGTCATCATAACGCCGGATGAGGTAGCTGAGGCGGTCCGTAGGGCCCCGAACTGGAAAAGTCCGGGGCTTGACGGGCTGCATCACTAGTGGCTGAAGGGGTTCATGGTGTGTCACGCTGTGCTCGCCCGACAGTTTCAAGAGGCTCTCAACCAGAAGTCGCTCCCAAGCCTCTTCACTACTGGGATCACTCATTTGGTTCCTAAAGATCAGGGTGCCACAGAGCCGAGCAAATACCGCCCCATCACGTGTCTACCGACTATATATAAGACACTAACATCTCAGAATCGCTCGTCACCTGGACTCAAATCAGGTGATGTCGCGCACTCAAAATGGATGTCGGGGCGGCGGTCGTGGAACCATGGAACCACTCCTCATTGACGCGGTCATTGGCAAAGTGGTGAAACGCAACCGTCGGAACTTCTCTGCCGCTTGGATAGATTACAGAAAGGCATTTGACTCGGTGCCCCATACATGGCTAAAGAGGGTCCTCGAGCTGTACAAGATTGACTGTACAGTTCGAGACTTCCTCGAGCAGTGTATGAGGCAGTGGAGTACGATCCTCTGTCATCTGGGCAAGCGGATGACGGCTGCGGAAAGCCGCATAAGGATAAGAAGGGGTATATTCCAGGGCGACTGTCTGAGTCCAATCTGGTTCTGCCTCTCTTTGAACCCTCTCAGTACTTTACTGGAGGGCTCCGGGAGGGGATTTCAGCTTCGGAAGGGAGGTACAAAAGTGACCCACCTTTTCTATATGGATGACCTCAAATTATTCGCCTCCAGTCGCTCCCATCTTATGGAATTGCTAAACATCACTTGTGAATTTAGCAATTCTATTGGAATGGAGCTGGGGACGGATAAGTGTGCGGTCCTCCATGTTGAAAGGGGAAGGGTCGCTAACTCTGAGGGCATAGACTTATCTATGCCCGTCAACTTAAGGGCCCTTTCCGAGGCTGAAACTTACCGATACCTGGGTATGTCACAGAACATCGGTATCGATGAGGCTGGTATGAAACAGTCAGTTTGCGACGTGTTTTATACACGCTTGACCAAAGTGCTTAACAGCCTTTTGTCCGGTGTGAATAAGACACATGCATATAACGGTTGGGTCATGCCTGTCCTCATGTATACCTTTGGCATACTCAGGTGGAGTCAGACTGAACTTAACGCCCTGGATAGAAAAGTCCGCACTACAATGACGTCCCATAGGATGCATCATCCGAGATCGTCGGTAATGAGGCTGTACTTGCCGCGAAAGCATGGTGGGCGTGGCTTCCTGAGCGGGCTCACCATGCATAATCGCGAAGTGTGCAGCCTCCGTCATTACTTCCTGGCGAGATCGGATGATCCATTCTATAATGACGTCATTTCTAGTGATAAAGGACTTACCCCTCTATCCTTAGCCAACGAGCAATGGAAAGACCCGGCAGTACAGAGCATTTCCGACCGGGAGACCGTATGGAAGGAGAAGGAGCTCCATGGGAGGTACTACAGGGCTCTACATGAGCCTCACGTAGATACCACGAATACCACGATACACACGAATTAACCCTCGGCCGTCTGGTCTCCCCTGCCGAGGGCTCCCATCTGGTTGGATCTTATTTATTTATGTAGTTTTCTTATTTATTTTATTTTATTGATATATATATGTACATTTATCTTTTCATTTTAATTTATTTATATAGTTATATAATATATTTATAGAACCCAACCAGGTGAGAAAATTGTATAGATACCCCAATAATAATAATAATAATAATAAGTCTTTATTGACATTCATAGTTCACAATTTGAAATGGGTAGAAACCAGAGTCTCCTAGCTAGGTTACTGAGTAACCTGTATTTAGGAGATACAGTCCCATCCCCCCTGTTGATTAGGAATACATAGTTGTATTGTCTAAAATTATTAATTTTTTTATATAGAAATAATATTTATACAATTTTAGAGACATAATAAATGATGTGTGTGTGTGTGTGTGTGTGTGTGTGTGTGTGTGTGTGTGTGTGTGTGTGCGTGTGTATGTGTGTGTATGTGTGTGTGCGTGTGTATGTGTGTGTGGTTGTGTGTATATGTAATAATTAAAAAAAATTATGAAATAAATATATAACAATGCGACGTAATTTTATAACAATGTTAACAAGTATTGCTCTGTTTCATCATATGACTTATTTAGCAGGAAAGAGCGGACAGAAATTTTAAAATTAAATGATGACATTTCGTAAATCTGTATTTCCGCATTTATTTTGTTGTATAGTAAAGGACCTAGATAATAAAAAAATCTCTTTATAAATGAAAAATTGGCTAGCGGAAGTGTGCATACTTTGTCTTTACGCCGTTTAGAAATTTCAATAAAAGGAGTCTTATTATGCTGAAGTAATACTGTGTGCAGTATAAAGAGCTGCCTCACACTAAGAACAGCGCAGTTTTGATATAGATGAGTAGTTGGAAATATCATAGCTTTGAAAGTAGCAACTTTTAAGATAGCTATTTGCGAAACTTCAAGTGGCTTTAATATTGTTTTTGCAACACCACCCCAGCATGATATGCAGCATGCAATACGTGATGATAGACTGACATAAAGCATAATAAACGTTGCGTATAATTATGGAATTGGCAACATATCGTAGTGTTTTAAATATATATATATGTATATAATATATATATATATATATATATATATATATATATATATATATATATATATATATATATATATATATATATATATATTAGTTTGCGAACTTTACTTGTTAAGAGATTTATATGTATTTTAAAATTAAGGTGTTTATCAAGTACAATACCTAGATACTGACTATTGTCTACAGAATTTATCTGTGGACACAGACAAGGCGAAGACTGTAAAGGACAAGAATGAGCTTTCAACTTGATGGGAATATTTGGTTGCGAGGTGGGACTGATAGAGAAAGTTATAAATTTAGTTTTGGAAGTATTAAGAGTAAGAGTGTGAGATAAAAGCCAATTATATATTTGATTAAAACTACGTTTTAATATATTTTCAAGATCTTTCCAAGATGTTGCATAGAAAGTAATAGCTGTATCATCTGCAAAAGTGACGATTTTTGCGTTATCAATGTGAAGATTGCACAAGTCAGTAATAAAAACAAGAAATAGATTTGGGCCAAGAATACTTCCCTGGGGGACACCGATGCAGTCCGATATTTTAAACATTTGAGTGAGATTTGTAAGGTAACTTCTGAAAAAGTCTAACTGTAAACCTCTGACACCAATTTTCTCTAACTTGACTAAAAGAGTAGAAATAGGAATTATGTCAAAGGCTTTTGCTAGATCTAGAAATATTGTTAGGACCTTTTTATGACTATTTAGATTAGTGACTATAAAATTTATTAATTCATGAACTGCGTCAGAAGTTGATTTATTTCTACGAAATCCGAATTGTTGAGGTGAGATTAATTTAAAGTATTCAAGATAATGGACCAGTCTATTGTTTACTAAACGTTCTAAGACTTTAGATAAAGCTGGTAGTACGGCAATAGGGCGATAATTAGTAACTAAAGTCCCATCACCACCCTTGAAGATGGGATGAATTATAGACTTTTTTAAAGAGTTAGGAAAAATAGCATTTTCGAAACAGAGATTGAATATATGGCTTAGCACAGGTGCTAGCGTAGCAAAGTATCTTTTTAATATCGCGGAAGATATGGCATCCCAACCGGTAGCTACATTTGACTTTAAACTCTTTATGGTTGATATTATTTCATCAGTATTGGGTTTTTCAAGAACAAATGAAGAAATACATGTAAAATATTGTGAAGAAGTAAACTGAGGTAAATTGTTAGACTTGATTATATTGTCCGCAAGCTCCTTTCCAACATCAACGAAAAATTTGTTAACGTTATTACATGATTGCTTTAGAGACCTTTCCTGTGTAACTAACTGACATGTTGCTTGTTTATTCTGGAATGTATTTGTGATTTTTTTGATAGTATCCCAAAGTGCTTTAGGGTTTTTCCTGCTTTACTTATTTCTGGAGCATCATAATCTCTCTTTACTTTCTTAAAAATTTTTGTGCAGAAATTTCTATACCGCTCATAAGTGATAGACAGCGTTAAATTATCAGGAGAATTTTTTACTTTTCCATGCATTGAATCTCTATTTCTTATACACATTAACAAACCCGGTGTCATCCACGGTTTAAGTATTCTATTTCTGGACGAAATTTTTTTAAGTGATGAATTTTCAGCTATTGCATCCGATAATAGTTTAATAAGAGCTTCAGTTGCGATATTAGGATCTAACATGGAATAAATGGGTGCTAAGTTAAGTTTTTAGACTGCTTTATCAAGGTTGTCAAAGTTAACCTTTGAAATAATGGAAATTATATTATTTTTTGTTTCGTTTTTGATACATAAAACAGAGGAATAATGGTCAGTGATAGTGGTGTCGAAAACTAAAACTACAGCCATGTATTTAGTGCGCAACATAAAGTGGTCAATACAGTTGTCTCCTCTGGTTGGGAGGGTGTGGGCAGGAAGAAGACTATGGTATGAAAGACAATTGAGATGTTCATGGCTACGGGTATCTAAGGAAGAAGATTTTATATCTAAATTTATATCTCCAGTTATTATGACTGTCTTACATTTTGAAAGCGGTGTAAGTATAGCGTTAAGTATCGAAAGAAACTCATTTATGTTTTCATTTGATGGTGATCGATAAATGCAAATAAGTACTGTATTTGAATCAATCGTAGCAATTAGTCCAGATGCTGTGTTATTAAAATTTATTTCTTCAATATTTACCAAATAACATGATTTAATGTAAATAATTACCCCATCACTTTGATTTTGGTGTTTACAAGTTTTGTACATAGTATAGTGCTGTATATAAGGAATATTTCGATTACTTGAGCAGGGCAACCAGCACTCTGTTAAAACCAACACATCGCAATCAAATGAGATTCGGTCTAGAAAGGTTTGTAAACTAAGAAAGTTGCAATTTATCGATCTTATATTTTGATTTAGTATCTTTAGGAATTTGTTTTTTTAATTTGAATAGGTGTGGTTAATTACACAAGCAAAAAATGTATAAAATGAGGTATTCTTAAGTTGTA